AATAAATTAAAAAAGACTGTTGAGAAAATTACATGACTCAGTCATGGTGATTCCATTTTGATATTTATTTCCTTTATATATTATCTAGGTCAGTGATTTTCAGCTGGTATGCATCAAGAATTTTTAAAACATGCAATACCTGACTATTTAGTCAGGGGTGCTGACCTCTTTCCCCTTAGAATGTCAAATTTAAAAATGACAACAGCCAACATAATAGCCGCCCAGTGTGAATGCCCTGTCTTAAACTATAAATATATATATAGGTCATATAACAGAGTTGCATTTTATTGGTCATGTTGCATAAGGTTGCATCTGACCGGTTAATTCTTGGTACCAGAAATCCTTATATACAAGTATAGGCACCTGATTTTCTAAAAAGTCACTTTGAAGCATAAAGGGCAGGTAGTTACATTATTTTTTTGGGGGGTGGGGTGTAAATCAATCAAAATCACACCTTTTTTTGGTTGCGTCAGCAAAAAATGTATTTTTTGGTGTGCTGCAGAATTTTGATAATTAGTTTATGTGTACCATGAGATAAAAAAAGGTTGAAAATTGCTGATCTAGGCTTTAGGAAACTCATAAAAAAAGAAAAAGAGAATACAGGGACACCCTTCAACATAAACATAATAGACAATCTTTAGAAGGGCTTTGTTTTAAAAGGAAAAACACTTCATAAGTAGGCCTTTGCCTATTGGGGTTGTTCCTGGTGAACAGAAATGATGATGTTCTAGGCTAAAAAGTAATGTAGGTTATGCTTTCATGCTAGGTTTCAAGACGGGATCTAGACAACAAAATAAATGAAGTATTTTGACGTTTTGGCTTATCATGATTATTACTAAAAAAGCACCATTAACTGAGTAAGAAATAAAAACTTGTTTAATCTGAAATCTAATCCAAAAATAAAGGCATTAGGGAAAGGGGGAAAATCCCAAGAAGTTCACTTTCAAATAATTTTATGGGTATATACAAATGAATTGCACAGATGGCAAAACAGGAGATGAAAAGAGCAAAAGTAGGAATTATATGCAGAAATTTGAAAAATTAATGGATAATAACCAATTAAAAAATGAAAATTCAGGCGAGGGGCAGCCAACTACATTGGGTCAAGAACATAAAATTCGAGGAAGATGAACTCTTATAACATGGGGAGGAGAGAAGTCATTTTAAATTTAAAAAAAAAAAAAAAAAAGATTAAAGAGGGAGAAATGAAGACCTCAGGTTTCTTTCTATTTCTAAGCCCTTTTCATGTACTTTTAATAATACTCAAGAGTTTGGAAACAAGCCTGAAAAGGCAGAACCACTCTTCATCTGTTTCTGGTCTAGTGTTTTAAACTCCTCACACGAGAATTATTTCACGAGTTAGCACTGCTTGTCATGAAATAGTATACACTTCCTTAAGTTAAAAACAACAAGAATTAATGAGATTACATTTTTGGAAGAGTAGTGTGCCCAATTTTGTTTCCTAATTTAGAATAAAAAATGGACAGAAACTAAAGCCTACCACAAATACTAATAGAAGGACAAAAATCAGAGTTCACAGGAAAAAACATGGTGGGTTATTCAGAATCATACTACTTCCTAGTTTCAGAGGAAATTCATCACCACAATCAATTTTAAAATAAGTATTAAAAGTCACGAACTTACCGGTGCTGGATATCTAACTATTTAAACAAAACAGTTTAGATGTTCAACTGCCTAACAGCAAAGAGACAATCAGAGGGCAAATCTCCTTTATTTTACCATAGAATTAGAGAGAGAAAAAATACCACTAATTAGGCTATTACAACACCACTCAGTCATATCACAGGAAGAGGTTAGGAGAACAAGTGCATTCAATAAACTATTTCAACACTATTTCTGCTACTAGATACGTATGTGGAAATCTATAGTAACAATATCCACACTCATTTATACACATTTCAAACCAAAAAGATACTTCAAGCCAAAACACAACAATCTCTCTGTGCAGTTTAAAATAATAGAAGATAGGGGAAAGCAGCAGCACCGATCCAAGATGGCGGCCAGCAGGAGGCTGATGAAGGAGCTTGAAGAAATCCGCAAATGTGGAATGAAAAACTTCCGTAACATCCAGGTTGATGAAGCTAATTTATTGACTTGGCAAGGGCTTATTGTTCCTGACAACCCTCCATNTTGTTTACCATGGTGTGTTCATTTTGATCTCTTTCCCTGCAGGACAACCCTCCGTATGATAAGGGGGCCTTCAGAATCGAAATCAACTTTCCAGCAGAATACCCATTCAAACCACCGGAGATCACATTTAAAACAAAGATCTATCACCCCAACATCGACGAAAAGGGACAGGTTTGTCTGCCAGTCATTAGTGCTGAAAACTGGAAGCCAGCAACGAAAACTGACCAAGTAATCCAGTCTCTCATAGCACTGGTGAATGACCCCCAGCCTGAGCACCCCCTTTGGGCTGACCTAACTGAAGAATACTCTAAGGACTGTAAAAAATTCTGTAAGAATGCTGAAGAGTTTACAAAGAAATATGGGGAAAAGCGACCTGTGGACTAAAATCTGCCACGATTGATTCCAAAAAGTGTGAGCAGAGACCCCGAGCAGTGCATTCAGACGCCCCGCAAAGCAGGACGCTGTGGAAAATTGACACAGGCCCACCACCTGGNCCCTGCAGAAGCCAAAATCTGCGATGCTCAAGTGCCTTATATAAAATGCATGGTCTGCTCTCTGCATCTGCGGATTCCCAACTGCAAATCAACTTTGATCTGCAGTTGGCTGAATCCGTGGATGCAAAACCTGGAGATGCAGAGGGCCGAGGGGATATTAATTAAAAAACATCCACATATAATTGGACCTGCACAGTTTGAACTTGTATTGTTCAAGGTTCAACTGTGTAAGGAAACAATCAGACAAATCCAAGTTACGGGACAATCTACAGGGTTCATCAAAAGTAAATGTGTGGCCTGGCCGGGCGTGCCTCAGCGGTTGAGCGTCGACCTAGGATCCAGGTGATCGGGGTTGATTCCCGGTCAGGGCACATGCTCAGGTTGCAGGCTTGAGGCAGCCAATCAATGACTCTCTCATCATTGATGTTTCTATATCTCTCTCTCCTTTCCTCTCTCTGAAATCAATAAAGACATATGTGTGTGTGTGTGTGTGTGTGTGTGTGTGTGTGTATATATATAAAAAATGTGATGAAAAAATACTAGATGAAAACACATGAAAGACACTTAAGAAAATGTACTCAGAAAGGGAGAAGTCACCAAAATGCTACCTTTTACCTTAAACCTGCAATGAAGAACTCAGAATATTTTATTTTTTAAATGTTTTTATTGACGAGGAATCAAACCCTGACCTCTTGGCTCATAGGTTGATGCTCAACCACTGAGTCACAGTGGCAGGGCTTAATTAATTCACTGATTTTAGAGATGGGGGGTGGGGGA